CTTTTCAAAGTGATAACGATTTTAAAGTAGAATTGATGAAGGAATGATAAAATAGTTTATTTTTATGTTCACTAACTATATTTATTATAGTAAGATATGTATATATACTACATACATGCATACATATGCATTGTATATAATTGATAAGGTGTGTAAAAGTAAGTTTCATGTAATGATAAAGCAAGCCAGAAATACTAGATAATAATCACATAATACTACTGAAATGAGACACACTTAGAAAACAAAGTTTTTTTCTATTTATACTTTTATTTTTTTTTTTGCAAAATAAACAAAATTCATTTGCTTATTGATTTCTTGCACGGTCTCAATGTGTTTTACGAGTAAATAAGTATGTATGTATATGTGTTAGAAAGGTTATCGCACTAGGTGAATAAAAGAACTTTTGTTCATACTATACCTTTGTGTGTCCATGTCTAAGTATTTCAGCCTACAAATAAACTCACATGTGGACCTGTTAATATACTCGAATTTTAAGTTCGCTATATTTGCATATACAGATATGTATATAATATATAGATTTATGAATCTTTGTATTTATCTGCATGCAAACATGCTTATAGCTATTTATCAAGAGAGGGGGGAGGTCGGTACAATTCCTCCCAGGTTCGGAATTTTCATAGCGGCTCGGTCCTCTGCAAGATTTTCAGATTTTTTCTCTAACAATTTGATGGATCAGGCCCGGACCCGTTTTTCTCTCTCCGGCTTTACTTATAGCAACTTAAAGCTGCACTGGTGAGAGTTTACAGCTCCAAAGTGCGAGTTTAAAAATAATCCAATCACGCTTGCACTTATGTCTGCTTCTGCACACATGAGCGTTTGAATTTACTAAAACAAAAACAATGATAATAGGTATAAGGTTCTTTGCTTMTCACACAATTTACTTTTTTTTTTAATACAGCCGAAGTTGAATAAAAAATCTCCTCACCCCGTTGACCTTCTGCAGATACCAGCGTCGAATGCATATAGCTTTGTCTGCTCACGTATTAATAGGTCCATACATCAATAAATATACGCTTATATGACATTTAATATACTTATATTTACCATCTAAGTGCCATGGTCGAATACCGAATGCAGAAATACCTGGATTGCACCTGAATTGGCGAATTGGTTGTAATAGTGTACTAAAGACTTTTAATCAAACATGCATTGGACAAGTGTACAAATTTATAGGCTTACATAAATTATTATTATTATTTTTTTTTGCAAATCAATTTTTTCATTTTATTTAAATATGTATATGTTCATATAGTGTATTCGATTACAATATACCCGTACAAATAATAATAATATTAATTTGACGTTACAATATTGCTAGAAATATGTTTGTCCAGCTTTTTTCTCATTTTATATGTCATACGGAGCCTTTTTCTAAAACACAATGATTAATTTTTACATAAAAACAAGAAAAAAACTTTAACTATCCCAATGCTTACCCTTTCCAGGTGTATTCCTTATTGCAACTATATGTATAACCAAATGTGTAAACGTAACCGGTCAACGGTTCTAGCTAGATTACTTATTAAGGAGAACAAGTATTTTATGGAAATCTTTATCTTGATTTGGATCGACTTGTTTGTATGGAAGCTCTACAAGCTATGGTGTTAATTTTTAATATTTTGATAATTTTGTTTCAAAACAAACTTTTGTAAATACTGACCTACTCCGTGTTCAATTTGCTAATCCATATGCTTCTTACCTGCTTTCATTTTCTACAATTGCTATTTGCTAAGAATTGTATACATTTTTTTTTAATCTTTGCCCGAATATTCATAATGTATTATTTCTTGTCTCTCATATTCATCTGATCAAAATTAACCCGTACTGACAAAAAAGTATGTTCAGGTATTTTAATACAAACCTACATAACCGCCTACAATACAGTTTCTAGAGTTAAACAAGCAAATCAACGCTTAATATAATTTCCCATACACTTCTTATATACATATATCTCATATGTTCTTATAATAACCTCTTCTGTGACGGCCTTCAGTGTTTCCAGCAAATTTGGGATTTTTCATTTCGGTTAATTTTTGGAAACGTCATTTGCTAGACTGCACCAAACAAACGATACAAAAACACGATTTCTCAATTTTATTAAGATAACTCACGTATTGGGGTTCTGTGGGCGTGGCAGAGTCCGATTGCGCCCATCTACGAATCATCCCCACCAAGAATCTTAATTTTTACTCAAGGTATTGCCTGCACAGACGCATGGAGGGACAGGAAGTCACTCGGATTTCAACTTGCTCTTTCATCACCCTGATTCTTCATACATTCATAACCCTCTATATATAGTTCCATTGTTTTGAGGTTATACAAAGAACCGTAAGGTCTTACTCTATAGCAAAATTTTTTATGCCAACAAGACTATGTATATTGCAGTTTTCTTAACCCTCTGTGACCCTCAAATTTCAACCATTCCTTAAAAAGCGGTGTTTGTACCGACCTAGGATAATTTGTTACACCTATTCGGTTTGTGGCGCAGTTTACAAAATGGGCCATCCTGAGACAATTTTGATTACACGACGTTTTATATATTCTAAGAATACGTCGAACACACATGAATATAACACGGTATTCGAAAAGTCACCGACATATCAAACTTCCTTGTATGAGCTTGTATATGATGCAACTCTGGAGAACTGCAAGTACATTTTTCTTACAAACAACAGTTCAAACATAATCGCCAACAACTTACTGAGTTAATCATTCGGATTGGCTTGGATTGGAAATCCTTATCAGTGGCGGCACAAATACATGCATAACGTCGTGACACTAAAATGGCTTTAAGCGACAAGCAACAACAGCTTCTGTCTAGAATTGAATTTAATGTCAAACAACAAAATAGTTTAAAAAATAGACATATGTATGTAAATTTAGAAATAAATAATTATACTTTAGCACGCTAGCGATAGTTATGTGGGCGTTTTAATCTCACCAAATAAAAACAAATAGTAAATCGTTTTAGCAATCTTAGTATAGCGCATGTGATTAAAATGTGATATTTATGAATATTTGGTGGAAATATTGTGCGTACACACGAGCATTCATATCTGAGTATTCATATGTCGAATCAGTAATATTTCGAATCAGCACAAAGTCCAGCTTCAATCAAAAACTAGGTATTATTAGAAATGTCGGCRACAACACTCATACGGGTATTTCCGCTTGCAAATATCCGCATGGAACTTCTCAGCACCGAAAATCACTTAAGCTTATTAACTTATGTACATATGTATGTTCGCATGTAAAGGTACTTGAGTTGTATTCTAAAATATTATGTCTTTAGAAAACTGCATACAATAGCAATTTCCGGTACCAAATAAGCTCAAAAGGTAATACAAATATTCTAGCGAAGCAATCAGATTTGCAATGATATTTTGAAAAATACGCGTAAATACATATGTGGTGCAAAGAACAAGAAATGCTAATATAGATTTTTATAAATTTCGAAACGTGCATTTAATGCCTTGAACTTTGAGCTTGAAATCTTGTATTTTACAAATAAGATCTTACATTTTGTATAGTAATTCTTGATTTGTTAAAAAATAGCAATAAATTACGAATATGGCATAATTGTATTTTAGGACGACTTTGGCTCTTATTTCTGGCGATCGCACACATTTYTCTTCGAAACTACATCTTTAGGAGTGCGAATTTTGTACCCATACATATACTACTTAATTATATTGCATTAGTATAAATGTATATGTACCTACAGACACATGAACATTATCTGCCACTTCACTTTTCTAATTATACACATGATAGAATTTCGAACGTGTGCATTGTATATGTATCAATATTCAACATTTCACATTTGCCAATACAAATATCAAATATTACATGCAAATTTGAGCAGAAGTAAAGGCTTCTTTTAAATATATGAGTAATAAATACCACAGAGTAAACGTTTCATTTAAAAAAGTGTCTCATTAAGTCTTTTAGCCAACCGGAGTCCGACCCAATTTCAACAAAATGTTCGATCAGAAACTAAATAGTATAATTATATATATGGCATTTCTGAAATAACAGTTTTAAATCGTGCAATCGTATCAAAATCAAAAAAGTTCGGAAATAATCAACTAACAACTGTACCAATGCTTCCACACACTTCCTTTCAAATGTATCGTTACAATTGGGCCTGATGGTGAAAAAAGTCGGTATTTAAGTCCCAACTCGATGAAAAAGATACACAATACTCCACACAATATTGTTGATGCGAAGAAAAAATCAGTGTGCATTCAAAAACTAAAACTCTGTAGTAGTATTTTCGTTTAATGCATAATTAATTGTTTGATAAGGTAAACTAATCAAGAACCCGAGGTGTRGTGCCATAACATAAGCTTGCACTTCTGCTCAAGCGATGATGAAAATTGATAATACGAATTTGTATTGAAATAAAAAATAAGCACAAATCATCATCACCACTACAGCAAAATGAATATAATTGTTAATAAATGTGTATGGTCTCGTGGTTAGCGTGTGCCCACACAGTGGCGCATTCAGCACAGTGTAGTAAAGGCAAGCATTCGCTAACCGACTGTACTTGAAAATATAAAACATAAACCTTATCTCAGCTTGCGAATCAGCTTGATGTTATGCCTTACAAGTCTTGGGTCCCGATGATACTCACTGCAAAATTTTATATATAATATTATATATATAGAGCATTTATAAAGAATTCGAAAAAATGTGTGTAACCCAAATTAAATTGAAGTGATCCCGCCACTGCATTCCCTCAAATTGGGTTTTAGCCATACATTCACATATTGGCACAGAGGTTTGCATGTGTACTTCTGATTATATTGGCATGTGTATTCTCTTATATACTTCATTCCGGTAGGGATTTGTTTAATTAAAAAAAGAAATACTGAATTGTTGACTAGGAGATGAGCTCGTATCAACACATCGTTATTAATTCTTTGAGTTTTTATATTAATGGTGAGATTTAAAAGATGAGACACTATTTAAGTGGTACTTAGTAGCTTATTGAGTTTTGCCATTATTGCAAATCCGTCGGGCATAAATTTATTAAATTCAGTCTTACGGTTGCAATACAATTTGCCAGTACCTCAGATAAACCTTCAATTTATTGTCGGATGTTAGCTTGGTTCAACTACTTTGAAATAACTGCAGCTGTGGAAAATTCCMCCAAAAGCGATTTGTTAAACGTAAATTAATTGATTAAAGGAAATAAATATGGCGATCGATATTTTAAAGAAACAGGAACAAGCGCGTCAAATTCGTTATTCACGATCAAAATTTCGCCGCATCAACTCTTTGGATCAAATACCCGAAGATCCTGGTCAGGAACAGCTCGCGAATTCAACCAATATCAATATGAATCCAGCTTTCGGTCATCAATCACAACTGGTGCGCCGATCACCGCGTACCATTTCTGCTTCTTTGCGACAAGTTTTACTCTTTTGGCCACAATTGCTGATCAATTTAACTTTTACGATCATACGTTTTATCCTTTATATACCGCTCTCGATAGCGGCACCCAGTTTTTGGTTGTCAGCTTTATTGTGGATCTTTTGGAAGTTCGTTCGTATACCTGTGGCTTTTATTAAGTGGATGTTAAATGTTGACTCTTTGATGGATGTATCAGCGGATGGCCCGCAACGTCATAGACGCACCGTTCTAATTAGTTGTGGAAGTACAATTCAAACATTGCATTTGGCACGTAATTTTTATTCCTCCGGTTCACGAGTGGTGGTGTTCGAGTTCGAAGGACTCTTTGGGCTAGCACGTTTCTCCACCGCCGTCGACAAATTCTACATAGTCCCCCGACCAAGCCCAAATAATGTAGACAGCTATATAACTGCTTTGTGTCAAATCGTTAGCAAGGAGAAGCCTTCAGTTTATATACCGGTTTGCGCAACGAGTCCTGCCTATTACGATGCACTTGCTAAACAACATTTGGAACTACTTGGCTGTGCCAGTTTCATACCGGGTATGAATGAGACCAACGTTTTAGATGATTGTTTGGAATTTTTCAAAAAATGTACAGCTCATAATATTGTCGTGCCACCACACTCTGTACTCACTTCCCCAAACGATCTTCAGCAATTGTATGAGAACAATTTCATCAGCAATTTTCGAAATATCCTAATGGCGGTCGGTTTTCAAGGCTTAGTTGAACGTTTCAAATACTTATTACCAAATAATAGAGTGGAATTCAAATTTAATCATGAAATAAGTGAAAATGAAAAGTGGATTGTGATACGCGATTTACCGGGTGAACATTATATTACTTGTACAACCGTCAAAGATTCACGAATTGTTTCGAATGTTACTTGTAAAGTAGAACATGAAACGAAAAATTTGATACCTGTAACGCCATTACACGCACATGGGAGCCCCGTAGTGTCCGACGAAGCTCAAATTGATTTTTGGCTGAAAACATTTTTCGCCAAAGTGCGCTTCCATCGTAGCATCAATGGGCACATGAGCTTTCGTCTAATTAAGTGTCAAGGCACAACGCAGTTCATTCCACTCGGTGTACGTGTCGGTGTCTCATTGCCATATATCTGCTATAATCGATCTCATGCTCAAGTACTCTGCCGCACTATGAAATGCATACATCGAAGACAATTAAGTTTTACAAGTCCAGATGAGGAGTCAACGCTCGGTGCGTTAACAGCAAATTTTCGCTGGAGCTCTATTGAACGCTCCACTCCGACCACAGTACTAGATAAGAGGGAAGCTCTATTCGCCTATTGGGATCCATTGCCATATTGTGCTTACTACCATTTCCAATTGCCTCTTAAATCCGTCAAGAAGTTTTTGCAACGGCGTCATCGATCGACGAAAACTTTATCGCCACGCATAACAATGCCAGTTCATTGAACGTCATTCCGTGTTGTGCATCGTATGTACACCCAGATGATGATATGCTGGAACATTGATAAGCAATAATATTTTGCTCTGTTTTATAACGCTTATACATATAAAGGCGCTGTCCTTATAATTACGGATCACGTTCATTGTAAAAACAAACGAATAAGAGAAATTATTCCTGAGTAGTTATATGTATATACATGCATATTTATGTCACGATATATGTCCGTATATTTGTATCTTAACAACCACAAATTTGCTAGATATTTTGCGCAGGGGACCAGAGTGAGAGAGATGAAATAGACTGAAGGTGCTGATGAAATTAATTGTCATAAATATAGTGGTGATTTTTATATTAATATTAAAATTTCAAATAATTTACATATGCTATTTGGAGATTAGTATGTAGTATGTCATAACGCTATATATGTATGTACATACATACATCTGTATGCATTTACTTAATACCCTTTATTTTCATAATATTTATTTTTACTAGAGTATAAGCCACAGGGTTAAGAATTTAGTTTTTAAAAAATGTGTATATCTTATTATTTTATAAGCCAAATAAATCGTCTTTCAAACATTTGAATATATTCTTTTTTTTTTTATATTAAACTTGATAATATAATATACCTTTATGAAAGTAATTTTATAAAACGTAAAAACAAATTTGGTCGTAGGTCGTCTTGTTGGTATCATGCTTTGGTCATGAAAAAATCATATATTCACTCAGATGTTCTGCGGCACCATATAATTTTTGGAAGAACTTTGGCAAAAAAATTTTCAATGCTGCAAAAACCACTTTGTTTTTATTGTTATTCTTTCTGAACAATTAATTAACTTCATTAGTTCGTGAATAATAGAGTATGACGGTTTGATTCCGATATTAGCAATAAAATTTTAAATTTATGAAAATGAAATACTCACACATTTGCATAGTTGTTCAAATTTTTTCTTAATAAAAATTCATATTAATATTTTTAACACGCAAGTTTTTCAAAATATTTACACATTTATTTAAGTAAACTTGCTTATTATAGAGCACTAATAAATTTAGGCCGCATATGTACATATGTACATATGTATGTACAATATATGCGTATGCACTGAAGGAAAAGATTAGGAACTAAACAAAGTGAATTTAGTTTTCTTGTCGTGTCAAAGGCTTGTGGCAAAGTTTCCATGRCAATATGCATTTTTGTTGTTAGTTTTGGGTTGTTTCTGACGCACCACCATTTCTTCCCCTGAAATGAATAAGAGTGCACTACTAACTGGCTYTGTAAGCCCACCTGATGTGAGTAAGGGTGAATGCAGTGCATGTACATACATATATATGTGCAGTCAAATATGCATGTATAGTATATATATATATATGTATGTTTGATACGAAACAGAATTGCCTTGTAACCAACGTTATATTCGTTTTATTTATGGCATGTGGCTTGATGAACGTTCTCCCGAAAAAGAAATGATTGTATTAGGAGATTTTCTTTAGCAAAAACAATGTTCAAAACGTTTTTTAGCCATATTGTTTGATATAAACAGCCTTCAAGTGGAATTAAGAATCTTAATAAGAAAAAAAAAATCGTTTATGGAGATCTTAATCTTGATTTGATCGGTCAGTTTAAACGATAGATACATACATACATTCTTTATATTTGTGAAACATACATGTATCAATTAAACATTTTTCTATACCGGAATATTATAGTTATCTGATATTGGCTGTTTCAGTAAATGAGCAATTTCTCAAGGAGAACAAAACATGTGCGAACTTTCAGATCGACATCTACACAAGCGGRCGGTCATGGTTAAATCGACTCAGCTCATCACTATGATCATTTATATACATAGTACATACTTTTAAAGATCTCCGACGTTTGCTTCGACGTTTTACTCTGCTCATATTAGTAAATGTTATGCACATACATACATACATTCGTCTTAACGAAGAATTGCTAACGTAGATTGATAAACTGAATTATTTTACCTTCAACTTTACACAAATTACAAATTTAATTCAAATTCTTTATTCTATTTAAAATCCCCTTTACAGGTAAGTATTCTAGACTGGRGGACGGAAAATACAAAAATAGCATAAGTCAATTCAAATTATTTATTTTCTCAAATTTCTTTTCAGTAGTTGAAATTTCAAAATCAGTATTTATATATCAAACCCTTTAATTCGTCATTCAATGAAAGATTTTAAATTTACTAATATTAGAAGCCTGGATTATTAAAATGCAATTTTCGATTTTGACTGGGTTAAAATGTATATATGTATGAATAACGCGGATAAAAACTGTTCTCAGTCTTTTGAAAATTTATTTTTGAAAATTTCAAATACCTTTAAAAACAACTAGGTGCTGTTAAAACTTTATATTGTTAATTAAATAATATATATTATATGAAAAAAATATCTTAACAAATCTGTAGATGTAAATAAAGAATTATACTTAATTTTAAAACGAAAGGCAACCCTGCATTTAATAAAAGCACTTAAACCACAGTTTCAGATTACTCTTCCTAAGTGCAGAAAGACGTTTTGGCGTTATAGCTACCCAGCTGGCCAAATAAATCTACACACCACCCCGTGGGGATGTAGTAACTTTAAACCAAAAAAAAAAAAGTGCAGAAAGTTTATTCCTTGCTATGCAAACCAAAATAAAATCAACATTGCTTTTAAAAACAAATATAGAAAGTATTTTGTCGGCGTAATGAATAGCAACAACATAAATAATGAAACGGAAGCAAATAGAACTTTGTTCCGATTGCAAGCAAATGATAYTGAGGTCAATGTTTCCAACTTAACTTCGCCTGATGTCCACAACTTATCATCTCAGAATACACCTTTAATTCAACAGTCTTTCGAAAATATAAGAATAGATATAGAAGAAAATGCATCTGAAAGCTTAGAATCAACTAGTGAGACAAGAACTTCGCATAACATCATGGAACATTATGCTCGATTTATAAGAGATCAAGTAGCAGAAGTCACTAGGAGCCGACTTGGAAACATTATTGCTGCATCAGGAAGTGGCACTCCGTCGCAACAAAATACAGGTGGAATAAGTTCCGGATCGAACTATGTTAGAGTCCATTCCCTTCCCAATTCATTGGGAAATTTAAATAACGTTTTTTCACCTGAAGTTTTACGTTCTTTTTCTACAACAAATAATTTCGATGAATCTGCTCGGCATTCCTATGAAAATGATATCAATAGTCCAATTATGTTTAATCGTAATTTCGATGCTCAAATAAACTCGGTTTCAGCAGSACCGCATGCCACAAGATCATCAAGTTTAATATTTGATCATCATATAAATTTCCGCAATAATGTTACAGCAGGTGATATCAACAGCTTTACAACTCCGTCAAATGCATTGCATCAAACAAATGTAAGAAGGGATGGGTTAGATTTAAGTGGAAATGTTTCAACGGATCAACAGACGTATAGTATTCCTGTAATTCCAACAAGAGGTACAGAAGAGACGGCAACTTCAACCAATGAATTATATAACACTAGTTTCCCGGACATAGTTATACCAACCATTCGCCACTGTCTTCACTATATACCTTTCGCATGTATATTGTTCGTAAAATTTATTTATGATCATTCACTTGCAATATTGGATATAATAACATTACAATTCGTTATGTATTGCGTTAACAAATCTTTGCAAGCTCAAGTTATAAGACTTGATCAAAAAAGGAACTTAATACTTTTACGGGACTTACTATTGGTTGCTGCCGTAATTACGTTACGTTTATTGGCATCATCAACTTCCCCAGATCCTTTTGGTTTGCTATTAGCGCCTCCAACGAGCGAACGGAATATGGTTCATCAGGTAATACATAATCTTCCCCAGGATACGTATACGCCTACAACCGATTCACCAAATACAATTGAGAATACAATTATTATACCGAAGATAATATCACTAACAACGGTTATATACTACATAGCCGTAAATGATCTTCTTCTTAAATTGATTACTATTTCAATAAAATTGGTCGTTACTTTATTACCACTGCGAGCCATACGACATAAGTCAAGGGTACAACAATTAATGCCTGATTAATTCTAACTCCCGAATTTGATTTTGTAACATACTTTATTTCAGACACGATTGTATGTGTTCATTGAATTTTTTTCTCAATTTTATCGGTCTTTGGTCCCCATTCGCCAATGGTTACTATTCCTTTTCGAATCGTATTCCGGTTTACATGCTGTGAGTAATTTTGTGGAAATAATTTCTCATTTGCAATAATAATGAAGGATTGTATATATAGATTTCTGGTGTGATGTTTTCATCTACTTACATAGTACTTAAAGGATGCGAATTAGCAGACCGTGGTAAAACACTGAAGAAGTCATTTATCAGTTTATTGAAGGATGTAGTAAGTAATCTTCTATAAAGGCTGTGAAGTTTATATATGTATATTTTTTTTTATTTTTAAAAAAAGAATAAGTTAGGAAAACCGGAAAAAGATGATTTTGATACCTCCGAAGAGCTATGTGCTATATGTCAAGATGCGTATGTCTCGCCTGTGGTGCTAGAATGTGGACACATTTTCTGTGACAGTTGTGTTACTACCTGGTTTAAACGAGAGCAAACATGTCCAATGTGTCGAGCAAAAGTAGGAGATAACCTGGCCTGGCACGATGGCACCACAACGTTCTTTTACCAGCTTTATTAATAATCTATCTTATCAGAGCGTGAAATAAAATTAAAGTTAAAGATATTTTTTTTTTATATTTTACAATGCTGATTATGTAAAATATTAAGGCAATGAGAGAAAAAAGATATTTTGTTTAATTAATTATTACTGTTTTTTTATCGTGCCAATGGTATGTTTTTGAAAAATTAGTCCATCAGTTTCTGTTGCTAAACTATTAATTTTAGCATGTCGCTCCTTGCTCACAATTTCTTCCATTACTTCTCCTTCCCCTCTGATAAGACGAACTCGTCCAGTAGTTGGGTCAACAACACGACGCATTTCACTTTGACGCTTTTGATGCTCCTTTGGTGTGACAGGTGTATGGGACTTTGTATTC